CATCATTGCTCAATTTCCAGAGACTTAAGGATACGCTACAAATTTCAGTAAACAGACACAAGCTTAACCACTCTGACCTGTCTTCCTGCAAAGCTGAAAGCACTTACTCTTCCAATGTTATTCAAGACCATGAAGCTCATCTCTCTAGGTGAGATAACGTTTGACCCTGCTGTAGAGTTCAAGCCTGGGAAAACAGGTCTTTCTGAACTGGAATACAAATAAAATGAGATTCATGGCGAGACAAATGCAAATGTGTAGCATGAAAACAAACCAGAGGTCACCCTACAAGTTTCCTTTTCAAAATACTTTGCAAAGAGAGTTAACAAAGCCAGCATTAATGAAACAGCTGGTCCATGCAGCTGAACTGACTCCTTAACTTTGTCTGGGTACAAATAATGTGTGTTCATATAATTCTCATGTCAGATGGGAAAATTCTTCTCAATCAATAGATTTACAGTCTGATGATTTTTTTAATAATCAGAACCACTGAATTGGGTGAGAATAAAAGGGAGCCTAGAAAACAGTTTTAACTTTGGCCCTGCAACTGCTACAGTGGTTTAAGCCTTGAGGATGAAACAGTTTGATTGGAAAGCCTTAGTCAGAGATTATGAAGAAGAGTGAGTGACATCTATGTGCCACCACATTCCACTCCTCTCTGCCTCCAAGTTACTTTAGGGAAAGGAAAGCAGGGATGTTTTGAGATATTAGAGCTAAGTTTCAGATAGAACTATAAAAAATAAAGACTTATTTTCTTTAAAAAGAGGATACTATCAAGTTTTGAAAATTCATTCTTCTTCTGTAATGGATAGGAAAGAACACGTATCTGCAAGGGCCAAATTGAAAGCAGTTAAAAACAAATACAGCAACAACATCCCACACCCTGGTTGGCTTTGGGAGCATTTTGTCCCTTCCTGTAGGGCACACTCAACTCTGGCCTTGAGGCTTCAGGGTGCCCTCTGGCTCACGCTCCAAGATAAGTGGCTCTGCAATTAGCTCCTCAGCTGTTTAGGGTGGATCCAGTTAGCACTAATGAGGGGGAAGAGGTGTGAACTGACTCACAGGCCTACAGAAGTTACAAACATATTCAAGCCCTTGCAGGTGGAAGGCCTATCAGCCAGATTCTGCACTGCTTTATGAGCAAATTTAATTTGGGCTTGGGTTTCTTCAAGAATTTTATTGCACCTATCTTAGCAGGGCTTTGGTACTGACAGAAACTATGTATGTAACTTCACACTGATTATTCTATGCAGGAATAATCTGTACTTCAAATTTGTTATTTATTTGGTTTTAAGGATACGTAAGAATCATTTTCAAAGAAAATCTTCTGCAAGACTCAAAACCATCATTACTGCCTACAGTGAATTCTACATAGCCAAAACAACATTTGAACCCATTGAACCTTATTTTTGTGAGCTTTGAGGGGGAAGGAAAAAAAAAAAAAAAAGGCTATTGCCCTCTTGCCTGCAATTACTGCAAGCTTAAAACAGATGGACATTCAAAGCAGTTCACCTGGCAGCGCTGTCTTCACCTGGACCATCCTCAGGCACAAAATTAAGAGGAGAGGGTGCAGCAGAGATGGAGAAAGTTCTGTGACACTTGGAACATCTGACGCATCTTCTCAAAGACTGGCCAGCGGGCACGTTTACTATTTTCAATGTTGGAAAATCACCTATGCAAAGTAAAGCAGTGCAAGATAAACATCAAGGAATGGATAATTAAAAACTGTCGAGTGTTTAATAACTAGTATCACTAAAGACAACAGCTCCATTGATACATTAACTCCCTTCAACAGTAGCCAGAGTTTCTAGTTAAGGAAACAATAATTCACCTTACAGCAACTGTGATTCTTAGAGCAATTCTCTATGTGCAGATCACATTCCTAGGGCTCAGGTGTCAAAACTGCAAGAAATCAGTGCCTTCCTCACCACAGCATTTGCTGAGCCTTGCACAAGGCCTGCAGACCCTCAACCTTCACTCTAGAGCATGGAGGTTACTGCGATATCAGCCACCAGTCACCTCCTTTGCTGCTCAGAGTCCCCATTTAAGGACCCCGTGAAGTTACAGGAGAGCAGGGAACATTTTCACTGTTTATCTTCACTGTGTAGACTGTGTCTTGAGGAATGCAAGGAGCTGACATGCAAACCTCGCTTACAAGCCCTGAGCGTGTTGCAGAGGTCCTCAGGTGGGAGGAAATCTGCCATTAACGAGTGTCTTACAGACACACACTAAATGAAAAATGCACATTAGAGACTGAGCACCCAAATTAACAGGAAGCCACAGAAACAACCCGCCAAGGAGAGTAACATTCTGTCGTTCTTGACATCAGCCAATCGAGGCTAGTGACCATAGGAAAGGGATGTTTTATTTGCACATGCTAGTGAGACAAACACTGAAGTGCATTAATACATTTTACAGGACAAACCAGGCAATCTAATGATTGCTTCCAGCTTTCAAAATCTAAAAATCTACAGTCTTTAACTTCACTAGTTACCTCACATGAAGCCTGAAAGTTTCCTTGACTTCAGGATTCTGAGTTAGTTTTCGCAAATGTAAGATTTTTTTTTCCTCCTTCTTTTGTGAAAATAAGAATTTAACCAAGCTTTACCTTCACTTCCCAAAAGCATTCTAGAAATTGAACCAGAATTTCTTAAGCGGATCCGAGGATGACCCTCTTCAATCCTCCTTAGTGTATCCCAGCACTGCGGATGTTGACAAACAGCCTTATCACAAACAGTTTCATCCCACTGGCTTACGCCTGCAGCCATTATTTTTGCAGTCACTCCAGTACAAAGGCCAGACAGTAAAATGATGTCATCTATTTAACCACTCTGCAAGACAGAAATTTGGCATATATTAATTTAGCAGAAGAAAGCAAACTTGAAGATGTAAGCAGTATAAAAATAAAGTTAAAAATAACAAAATCGCAGGGGGGATTACATCAAGGGCTGTCCTCATTCATATCCATCCTAAATCATGACCAGCTGGCATCCTACCCTGTAGGTCCAGAGCTTTCATATCCTACTTCCTTTCTAAATTCATCTAGCTGTAACTCATAAAACAGTCAACACGTAGAATGTGACCTGGGGTAGCGAAGCTTCGTACTGCAAGTCATGTTTTATGTTGGTGCAATAATTCCTACTTGTGGCTTTGGGGTAACTACAGCAACACAAGAGGAAAGGTTGGGCCATGCCAGCCAGCATGGAAATGCAAAAATGTATGTGGCTCTCTCTACTACGTGCCTCAAAAAAGACACACGTTAACTATTATTTTAATAGATATAGCTTTGACCCTCTAGATACTGCAATTAAGAGCAAGCACACCTTTTACTCTCAGCTATTTCAAAGCATCCAAGAAAGAAGAGAGCCCATCACGTCAGAAAAACATACACCTCTCCACGACGAGGGCAGGTTCAGGAGGGCAGGAGCGTTGGGCTGTTCCGCTGGCCTGAGGCCAATGCTGCTTCTCCTTCTACTCTAACCCACCTCCCTCAGCGGAAAATAACACAGCTGCGCCTCCTTCTTCTCCAATTAGAAGCAGCAAGTGCAAAAGACAACTTTGCCCTCTGGCAAAATGAGAACCAGAACAAGCTACAATGGTTTCTAATGACTCTTTTAAGACCAGCGAGCAGAGAGCCAGCTCACAGCCAGCATCAGTACCATCTACTAAACCCCCAATGCTTGGGTTGCAGCCCGTCATTACCTGCATTAGATACAACTCACACACCTGCTACCGGAGCTTGTCCCTGCATGCCATAAAGCATCCATGCAGTTAACAGCACTAAAACATGGTAACATTAAAACGCAGCAAAAAGGCAACTCAAGAGAGACGTTTTGCACATACAGGCAGTTGCTTTTATTAATCCAACATAACTGGACATGCAATCGCATACTCAGGCACCTTCTTCATATCCACCTCTTCTGTGCCCAGAACACTGCACACTATCCCCAGAACCACTCCCAGCTCCAGAATAAGCTCCAACCTTTATAAAAACTCATCTCACTAATATCCACGAGCTACTGCTGGAAAACATCCACTCTGTACAGGGGACAGCAGCACCAACCAGCAACAGCCATAGCAGCTCCATGAACCCCCTCCGACCTTACACCAGACCAACCCACCACCGCCCCACACCCCGCGCTCTCCTTAACCGCCCTGCCAGGCTGCAGAGAGGGACAGAGAAGAGTTCATGAACTGAGGGGAAGGGGCTGCGCAGGGGCCGGGCAGCGCCCCCGGCCCCCCTGCCCGCCCGGCCCACAGACTGCCCCGCCCCCGCACGCATG